GAATTACGGAAATAGGTAGCTTAATATTAGCACACGATCTAGCAGTTATAACTCCTACACAGTCAACTTTAGTAACTGACCGAATTATCAGGTAACCGGATCATCAGGTAACGGTTTATTTTATTACTTTAAATATACCAGAAAAAAGGTACGTTTTTCCCTAAGGAGAATTAAGAAAAGATTTCTTGATCTAATCACTCTCACTGACTTGAGCGTCGGAGTGCCTTTGCAGGTACCCAGCCCACCTTTACCCAAAGAACAGAGCATAGAAAGAGAGAGGAAACATCATCACAGAGTTGAGAAGAGGAAGCAGTCCAGTTTTATTTGGTTTGTATTTCGGTCTCCACATCTCTACTGAAACACTATTATTTATAGATTAAAATAGATATTTGATAATATTTAATAAACACATTTTATATTAATGAGTAGTCATAGGAAGTAAAAGATACCATTTGACTGGTTTCGCACACACTAATAGCGCTTATCCCAATAATAACACCTACACTTAAGTCTCGTAATCAACCACCGATGAAAGTAGCTAGATAGCACACTCATCACAACCACCTTTCGGCTTTCCGAAGACCAAAAACCACAATCACCAAACAAGAAAAACAAACTCTAATTATGAACGAATAAAATAAATCAAACCCAAAGCACCAAGCTTATGATACTATCTCATTCTTAAACAACATGCAATTCAATGCCAAAATAAGTTTCTTCAAATCATCCAAACCTTCTCCTATTTTCACTTCATTTTGTTAATCCAATAACCTTTACGTGAATCCTTCTCAACCCAAAATAAAAACCCCATTCATACCCAAATTCTCATAGCTTCACGTCACACTTTCTTTCGCTCCAATGGAACCTCTTACTTACCTCTTCTTTCCTCTTTTTCTTCTAGGCTGTTTCTCTCCGTTAACACTCTCACGAACCACACGGCACACTCCCAAAACGACACTCCTCGACGTCGTTTCCTCGCTTCGAAACGCGCACAATGCCGTCGCTTCACCCCATTACCACCCTCTCCAACAACAGCAAGAACCCTCTCCTCTATCGTCGTTCGCTGTTCAGCTACATTCCCGTGCCTCAATTAAAAAACCCTCGCACAGCGATTATAAATCCCTAACCCTTTCTCGTCTCGAACGCGACTCAGTCCGAGTCAGGGCTCTGCAAACTCGTTTAGATCTTGCTTTGAACCGCGTCTCGAACTCGGATCTCCTCCCGGCCGAGTCACGCCCCGAGTTCGAAGCCAACGCACTCCAGGGCCCAATCGTCTCGGGAACGAGTCAGGGAAGCGGTGAGTACTTCCTCCGAGTTGGAATCGGAAAGCCACCTAGTCAAGCCTACGTGGTTCTTGATACAGGAAGCGACGTCAGTTGGATCCAATGCGAGCCATGCTCCGAATGCTACCAACAATCCGACCCCATATTTAGCCCGCTTTCGTCCTCTTCCTACTCGCCGATCCACTGCGACGCCCCGCAGTGTAAATCCCTCGACCTCTCCGAGTGCCGCAACGGAACCTGCCTCTACGAAGTCTCATACGGCGACGGATCTTACACTGTGGGCGAGTTCGCAACGGAGACTGTCACTCTCGGCGCATCGGCAGTATCCGGCGTCGCCATTGGCTGCGGCCACAATAACGAAGGACTATTCGTTGGCGCTGCAGGTCTGCTCGGTCTCGGCGGCGGAAAGCTCTCGTTTCCGGCGCAGGTCAATGCGACTTCGTTTTCGTACTGTCTCGTGGACCGTGACTCCGACGCCGTTTCCACTCTTGAATTCGACTCGCCGATGCCGCGCAACGCTGTCACCGCGCCGCTGTTGCGGAACCAAGAGCTCGACACGTTCTATTACCTCGGTTTGAAAGGAATCAGCGTTGGCGGAGAGACTCTCCCGGTACCTGAGTCGAGCTTTGCTGTCGATGCCACCGGAGGAGGCGGCATCATTGTCGATTCCGGCACGGCCGTGACACGGCTACGGAGCGAGGTGTACGAAGCGCTCCGCGACGCGTTCGTGAGGGGGGCGCAGGGGTTGCCGAAGGCGAACAGTGTGTCGTTGTTCGACACGTGCTACGACTTGTCGTCGAGGAACACTGTGGAGGTGCCGACTGTGTCGTTTCATTTTCCTGAGGGGAGGGAGTTACCGTTACCGGCGAAGAATTACCTGATACCGGTTGACTCGGTTGGGACATTTTGCTTCGCGTTTGCACCAACGACGTCGTCGTTGTCAATCATTGGGAACGTGCAGCAACAAGGGACACGTGTCGGTTTCGATATCGGTAACTCGCTCGTTGGATTCTCTGCCAACAGCTGCTAATGAAAGGGTGGGTGTAAGCGTATGACAGAAGAATCTCGTGATTACTTTTATTTGTATTTAAATTAATTTAATATTTTGTTTTTCTAATTTGTAATGTAACGGTGGGTAAGGGTAATTGGGTAAAAGCATTTCTTTTTTCAATTGTAACGTGTGGGCCCATTTGGATAAGGTACAATGTAAGTTGGGCCAGCCGAATGGTGCTAAATTGTAGAATTAATGAGTGAGGAAGTGGTGCTTATGCAATGGCGAGGGTTGCCTGAGAATTACTTTTAAAACACGAATTACAAAATTAAAACAAAAATATGCATTTTTTTTTATACAAAATGGTATTTTAAATTACAATAATTCAGAAATTTCTCATGATTTTTTTTTTTAAATTGAACCTAAAAGATAAAAAATAAAGCCCATATGATGGTAAATGGAGTGCTATTATTGTTATAGAGATGGCAGACATTAAGATACACCAATACACAGG